ACCTTGACCTCCTCCATGCTATGAACGGCCATGTCCTCCCATCCATTCCTATCCACTACATGCTCTCCCCGCCGAAAAATTGATAATAACAAACCATACACCGATAACAAGTACGGTCTGGCAAGCGCTGAACAACTAAGTGAAAATAACGACGAGGACAGACAATCATGAAGAATATTTATTCGTTAAATTGATACGATTAAATTGAGTAAGTGCTATATATTTTAATATATGTATATCATTATTCGATTATATATAGGCGATGGAATATATTAATATGGAATTCTAATCATGTTCAGTACATATATTACAACTCCATGTAATTGATCGAGAGGTATATAGAAGCCTTAAAGAAGAGTCTTCGGCTACAGTCTAGCACACGCTTACTTCGCGGGAGACTAACTTAGTCAGTTATACTCCTATCATACGTTGTTATACAGCAAAACCTCTCACATAATATAACAAATGAGATAAATATAGGTCATAGTATTTATTTGTCGACATATGAGTCGATAGTACATAAAGATTATACATATGTATAGATATTTATATATTTTTATGATGATAATGTATAAATAAAATAGTATACTCATTACTATTAAGATAATATTATGATATATATAGTATATTTAAAAATATATATTCGAATGGATATTTGGTAGGTGAAGGAGCATTTATTATACAAATAACCCCACCGCTTATTTGAATATGCTAATGCACATGGCTAGTGTGACAGCCAGTTGAACATCAAGTAATTCTGCGAAGTAGATCGCGAATAAAAGATAATCTGTTAATATCGAAGAGGCAGGTGACCCAGTTTAAATTTATTTCTTTATTGACTTTCATGATGATATTAATCACATCTTGTCAGGAGCGGTATGCACGTGAAGAATATTTTTCATACACCCATCGATTATTGACAATACCCCTGATATAGGTTTAAGGGACATTATTATAATCATTATCATAATTTCCTAGCTCATTGAAGATATTATCATTACACGTTATAGATCGATATTATGGAGTTTCTATTCCCTGATCTCTGACACCCATGATTTTCCTAACTGTTGAAATGTCTGAGTGAATCACCTCGCAATTCTTCAACTATGAAAGTAGTTAGGAAACCATAATTAGCAATACGTAACTGAACGGAAGTACAACATTAACTGTGAAAACATATTTAAATTCGAAAATTTGATTATAAAATGATAATTCAGTTATTATATATTCCTCAGTATATTTCTACGTAATATATCACTTAAAGTTTAATATTTTTTACTAACAGAATAGTTAATAAATATCACGTTAAGATATGAGATTGAGGAGGTGGATTTGAGGAGCTGCATATAATTTTATCCGACAGACATATCCGTATATCGAATCAATACAGACTGGGAGAAAATAGTATGTAATTTTTTAATTTAATTTTATTTCATGATAGGAAATAATTTTATTTCTGTAATTAATGGTTTATAACTACTTATATAGTTAGAAGAATTGACGGGTTCCAGTGTGCCACCTAATTTTTTCTTTATCACCGACTTTTACTATAGGCATCCGCCATAATATTTTTGTTATATTTATTTTAACGTCTTTTAGTTTAGGTGCGTCTGCAACAACTTCATTATTTTTATACTGCTTAATAGCATTTATATCCAGTGAAGCTCTATTTAATATAAGTTGTTGGTTACAGTTTATTAAAATACGTTTATAATCTTCACAAAAACCGAACAAATCTTTAAGATTAATACAACCGTTAAACATATTACCATCAATAAAATCTTTATTATCATTGTTAGTGTCACTAACCCAAGCAGCGTTATGGCGTGATGTGATATTTGATTTATTGTAAGAGCAATAGCCTTTTAATGTGGTCGATATGCCTGGATTAACGAGTTTTTGAATTTGAATACCATTTATCTCATATTTCATTTCGGAGAAAAGAAATGCTAGACCGTTGTTTATAAATCGAATGTCGTCGGTTATTTCTGCAGGTTTGGTTATTGCTCCCTCGATGTATATATAACTTTCACACGGTAGAGTATAAGACTCTGCGTTATGTAAGGCAATACGTACTTCATCGTTATTGGAGAGGGCGGACGTAGAATAAGGTAAAAACGAATGATAATCAATTTGAGTTATCCTACAATCGTCAACATACCCAGCCGATACATCTAAATACATATCATCCATATTAAACAGCGTTTAGTGATTGTAGAAATGCTAAATTTTCAGCTGTTAGGTCACCTTTAGAGTATTTAAAATTTCGTTTCTTCTTCTTCTTTAGACTTGTTGCTTTGATAATGTCGTCGACTCGACTAGCAGGTTTTTCGTATACTCGAGTATTTATATTATAAAACTGTAAACCCATTTTATCATAAGTCCTTGATTAATAATCGTATTGATACTGGTTCTCCACGTAGATCGATTAATTCGTTGTCCTGATTTTTTAAAGTTATCTCTGCATGCGTGATAGATGAACAATTGATTGAATAAAAAACCAAATGTGTTGGATTCTCTATTACTTTATAGCCCGGAGGAACATTCGGATAAAATTCATGTATTGTATGACTCTGCTTTCCGTTCTTGAATGAGCCCGCAACCAGGTTTGATTCGATATATATACAGTTTGTTTTTGTAATATTTACCAACTTGCCCGATTGATGTTTAACATTAGCGTCATATATACGTTTTTCAAAGCCTAACAGCTCGCCTATACTATTGGGCATTGATAAATCTATAGATACGTTACATTGCATTTCACATTTTAACGTATTGTTATTCCCCCTCAACTCGAAGGATATCTTGGAATCAGTTAGTATATGCTTTATCACCGCCTCGATTTCACTCAACTCATAAGAGCCTGTGGGTAATGAGTAAACTTGATGACCCATATCATTCTTATTTATAAATCCTATTTGATCACACCCGTTGTTTATATTGGGTATAGAATTGTTTGTTTGAAAAGCTAACAGGCAAATCTTAGCGTTTTTACTGACTTCAATCGGTGGGAAAAAGTCGCAAGACAATTCGCTCGAGTTGCCGCTCAATGTTATGGTGTACATGATAAAAATCTTAGACACAAATGGCCACAGTTAGTTGTATTGTATTTCTGATGTCTGTCGTAATTATATTCGATATTACAATCGCTAAAATATTTCTGTAATTCTAGTGGTGGGGGTAAATTTCCAAAGCTATCGTAGTATTTAACTTGTTTACCGATTTTTTTATACGCTACCCAATGAGTTCCTCCCCCCTTCTCGATATCTAAATTAACTATGGCTGACTCTCTATGTTTATAATGTAAAGGCAACTTGTCTCTGGAAAATACTCCGATGAAATGAGGTATTTTCAACATGTAAACGTATTTTATAATCTCATAATCAAACAATGCTCTATCGGGTAGCGTAGCAATTAGTTTTTTGTCGGTTTTCTAGATTTCCGATTCACCGAACCACCTTTGTAAGGTGAGAGGTATAAGCCTTTTCCTTTTACGATTTTATAAGAACCTCCCTTGTATGGTGCGAGGTATAAACCCTTTCCTAAATGAATAGGGGTTTTTTTTATCAGATTTTAAATCATTCACTACTTTTACTATACTGCCGATACCGCCAGTTAGCGCCTCAATTCTGGTTCTAAACACCGCGTTATTGAGTAGTTTGAAGAAATCACGTTCAAACGCGTTGCCAGCCTTCTTCCTCATACTCGTATTTAAATTTATGTATTCAGCAAGCCACGCCGACTGTCGGAATTCCAACACCCTGTGAACCTATTATCAAGGTTAATTTCACGTAATTTAATTTCATGTATTATATATTACTTTTTCCACTACCAGTCCATTAGCAATGGCTTGCTTTAAATTTCTATAGTGAACTATATACCGCTCTTTCCGCTCCAACGTAGCCATTAACTTGTTTACTTTTGAGCCCGGTGGTACGGCATTCCGTGGTAGGAAGGGGAGATCGTTGTGCGCGTTATGCAGGTTATCGGGATAAGCGATATCGACCTCGTAGATACGTCCAACGTCGGATTTGTCAGTCATACCGTTCAACAGCTCTAGAGAGCGATTCAAATCCCCATCGTACCACTTGAACCCCCCGTAGGGCATGTACTCTTCCATGGCGTACCCGTACAAGTTGTTGCCTGCAAGAATAGGTTTAAAGTTAGTAATATAATTAATAATTGTATAAGCGTCGTATATATTTACAATCTTGGTAGACGAGCCACGACGATGGCTTCTCAGAATCATACCCGGGCGTTTTAGGATTGTTGGCTTGACAGTACCTTTCACTGGCCTGGACCAACCCCCCTCTGATCCCCTGTTCCACGAAAAGTACCATATCGTAATCGGTGAGTAACTCCAGTGAGACGCCCGTATACCTCAACATGGCGTCGAACGTGAACCCCGGCGCCGTATAATAATACACGGGATCGAGGTTGTACGTCGACATGCAGAGGTCACGGAAGTTCTCCATCACGTCGGTCAGAAGGAGAACATCCACCTTCAGGTACAAGTCACTGTAGTCACCGAGGATCGCGCAGTTGAAATGTTCCCACACCTCCGTCGCGTGCACGTAGTCCTCATCACTTACATGCTTCTCGGTCAATATACTGTAAAACTCGCGTTTTGGCGGCAGGGCGGTCTCATCGAGTCTAATGCCACGATAGGCATGGAGGGGCATAGCCGGGCACGGCCGCGATAGGCATGGTGGGGCATGGCACGCGCACGATAGGGAGGGCGGTGAAGACGGATTTACCGGATTTGCGGGGGATACAGAAGGAACTAAAACATACTACTATATACAATATACATATATATACATATTATTTTATAATATAATAATATTATTATTATATTTATAATGTTTTTATTTATATTTATTTTATTTATTTATTTATTTTTTTTATTTATTTCATTATTTTATTATTTTATTTTATTTCTAATTATTTCTTCGTTACGAACTCATATTTATCAATTTTAAATTATATTTATATTAGTTATTTATTATTATTTATATGCAATCATATCATAGTACAATCATGTTTAAAAACTTTAAAATATTGGTTAAATAAAATATTATATTTACATAGGGTAGTCGTATAATAACTAAATAAACTAATTACAGTATTTCAACATATAATCATGCAGTAAATTAAACCAAAAGGTACCAATTTAACTATAGGTTTGTACTATGTGTATTTACGCCTTAAACTTACTCAAAAAATAATAATAATGTTAAAATATATATATGTATTGACTTTGTTTCCCTCAGTGGATGTGAGTAGGTAGCTAATTATATTTTTATTTTCATTTTTAACAAAATGCAGGGGGTAAAAAGTTTAAAGAACTAATTGGAGAGAGCTTTGTGAAAACAAAAACATTACAAAATCTAAAAATTTGCATTTCAAATAATAATTAAAATCATCATTTCACCCAACCGCTTTCGTTTGCTTTTTAAATCATAAATTTTAATTATATATATAAAAATAAAAAATAAAAACATTAAAATTTACTGATCCCATCGATGAATAATTCACGAAAACTGTGCATAAATAATTAGTATTAAGTCTTTTAACTAATTAAGTTATTACTGAAGTACTACGTATTTTTTTTATATATGCAAATTTTTTGAAACTTCCAGGAAAACTTTTTTTAATTATTGGTTTAAAATTGTATACCATTATTTTAGCTTAAAAAGATTAACAAAGCATCCGGAAACGTCAAAGTGCAAAGCCAGCCTCCATAATTTGAAAATATAATCTTATCTTTTTGGAAATAAAGTTAGGTGGTATTCTTTGAATATTTGTACTATATTGCAATGTAAGCAATCACATCTTAAGTTCTCACATTATAGTTAAATTTATGTCTTTGTATTTTTATAGTCAAAGAATTTATCCTATCTTATAGAGCAGGAAAAATAGATAAAGTTAAAGGTGCAGCTAAAATTTAACTTAGTTGATAAAACTTTGTTTTATCGAATATAATATATTACCTTATACTTTTACATTTAAACTTAAACATTATTTTAAACATTGCGTGCTCAATAAAAGTTTTAAGATTTTTTTTTTAAAGTGTATATTTTCAATATTTCTAAAAATATAATAAATTAATATTAGTTAGGTATATATAGTCGTGTTGATACTTGTAGTAATGGTGAATTTATTTATACATATATATTTGTTGTACCCCTATTTGAATGAATTTAAAACAAGTTAAGATAAAAGTATTTTAAAAATTTACTTATTTTGTTATTTTATATTAAAAAAAAATAAAAAAAGCAAAATTATTATATTTGTGTGCTGATTTCCATTAAAGTTTGTCTGTTTACTTAGTTTTTGTAAATTAAAAAAAAATATATATTTATTTTTCTGTACAATCAATATTTAAGAGTAAAAAAAAAAAGAAATTGCCTTGATAAATTATTTAATAGATACGTATTTAAATACTTTCTTCATTATATTATGATTTATTGTTAACGCTGTAGAAACATTTGGTGTTTTGAAACAGTTAACTAATTAAAGAAATAAATTTGAAAAAAAAAACTGATTTACTATCTCTCTACTGATGTATTTACACGTACTCTCACTCACCTAATCATTATAATACCTATAGCCAGCTATATATAATTTTTTTAGTTAAAAAACGCGTAGCACGTTGTAGGTACGTGTTCAATGATAAAAACGCATTTTTATTTATGCATTAATACAGATAAAATAAATAGTTAATATATTAATATTGACGATGTATATATATATATATATAATACTATAATATACTACACGTCAATTGGATCGACTTTATCGGATACGAAAGAGTCCTGACTTCTGAATACGCATATACAAGTATACAACAGTGAGTAACACACGCATAACAACTCGATGCAATATTAATACGGGTGCAATATGGACGAACAATATTGCATTATACACACCATAACATACGACACGAAGGGTTCAAACTATAGTTTTGCCCCTTCGTGATAATAATAATATATACATAGGTGTATGCATTTTTCATAATACATGGTATATTGGTATCGGTATAGTATGCACGTGGGGTGACCGGAAACCCTGACCCGTGTGGCCGTATGTCTATATTATATTTGCAAGTGGCGACCGTGCGCGCGTGCTCTTCCTTCAAAGTATTCTCTCGTGTTCAGAATTTTAACGTTTTAAACAGCCTAGACCTACAGGAAACGACAAATTTATTTATTTTTTTCCCGCGCTCCCAGTACCATTGTATTACAAACAATAATATACTGGCGAGTATCACCCGGTTTGTCCTGTAATATCATGAAATATTATATGAACCACCATGTGCATGCATTTGAATAAAAGCTTTTCAAAGTATTTATTACAATATTTATGCACTTTAAAACATAACGTTACATAATATGATGGTGAAAAACATGAATGACGGCCGCAGGGAGCTAGTAAATAACGACGATGTTCTTTATTGCAGCCATAGTCACGTAGGTAATTGATGGCTTTTCAGGGATGATCTCGTATACTAAGTCCACCACGGAAAAAAAAGTTCAAACCAAATATTTCATCAAGCAACGTATCCCGCGACAATATTCTAAAACGCATGCAAATATAGAACTATTTGCGCATAGGGGCATTATTGTTCCAAATTTAAAAATGTCGAAAGAGACTTTTTCATCACGTCAATGCGCCAACAATGCATACATTGCACAAAATAAAAATGAAGATAGTTTTAGAGTTTGATTGCTAAAAGAATGGTTACACAGAAGTTGCAAAAACATTGATAGATAAAATTCAATAACCGAGACTAGTAAGTCCACCTTCAGTACAAATAATTTAAAATTTAAAAATATTTTCATTATCGGATAACCGCGTGAAAATCACAAGCTTGGCAAAAAAAAAAAAACAAATTTCTTTTTATTGTGTTTTATAAAAAACTTATAATAACTTACACGTTCAATCATTTAAATTTTACCATAATATTTTGCTTAAAATTATATGGTTATGTGGTTTTGTCAATTAATCGTATTTGAAAAAGAACCACAGAATAAAATAATTTGAGAACTTTGAAGTAAAATCATTTGAATATCATACATAATGAAATATGAATCAGCATACTGCTGAACTATGGGTGTGAAATGTTTTTTTGTTTTGTTTTATATAATACTTTATAAATAAGGTAACTCAAAAGATACATTACATAAATACAAAGATATAATACGCAACATCAATCCCAAGTGATATTTTCTACTCGCTATAATGAATCAGCGTAGGAGCTTAGTGGAATCCTAGAACTAGAGCACCGTGATGCAGTGGATTATATGTATATATTATTGTTATATATATTTATTCAAAAGTTAAATTACGACTTACGTCATCGCTGTAATCAAATGTTTAGAAAAGAACAATAAAAGAACAGAACGAAGTTTTTAAAAAGGGACTTTCTGTGTGATAAATCAACAAATACGCACAGTAGACTGTCATCTTTATCGATTATTCAATGTAAGTGATTCCGTGTAGCTCATATTTTCTCTTTAATAATAACAATTATTACTGTGAAAACTACTAATCGCTGTGAGGCTTTTCATTCAAAGTTATAATATAAAAACGGCATGTTCTACATTGAACATCTAATTACTTTTGTTGTTATAAAAATATACTTATACAATAAGATAACTACATTAAACAGTGATATACGTACTCATATAATTATAGAACAAGTATAATTATAAATAAAGGAACTAAATTAGAATTACTATGAAATTATTATGAAATTATTATGATAAAATGAAGTAACAAATTCGAATAAATAAGATATCATTTAAAACCATTAAAATTAAAATAAAACAACATATTATTAATCTATTTATAATACATAATGATATTACAGATAGTTATAATTATGCATGAAAAAATCTGAGCTTTAATTAATATGTACTCGAAAATTTCTGGGCCACAGTTAAGGGAACGTAGCTACGTATTATACCCCACCAAGAAAAAGGATAAATTGAATGCATGCTTGGATTAAAGGAGGTAAGGGCAAATAAGGCACTTAGCCGCACAGGTTTTTTTTTTTGTTTTGCACTAGAATAATGTATTTTATTATTAGTAGTATTGTGTACAGAAATCAATAATCAAAAATACAATAGCATTAACCTAACCATACCCTCAGAGACACTCAAGGTTGATAACCTCAAAACAATGGAAGCATGGCAGAAAATTTGAAATAAAGTACCACTTATACACAAATTAAGAAATCTAAAACCTTTCATTAAAATATGGAAATTTCTCCTTATTTTAAAAAGTTGAGATGAAGTAATAATCACCTGGGTTAGAACAGAACACACAATCCTTCCTCATCACAAAAAAACCAACCCCAATATGCGACACGTGCAAAGAAAACATTACGATACCCAAAATACAAACAAAAAAAAACTTTATTATACCAGGCGTTCTTTAACATGCACTTAACGAAAAAAACACCGGAGAAATATATTTAACCAACTTAAATTTTTCAAATGAGAATTGCCATTTTTTCCAGTACACGATAACTTAAATCTAATTCTCCTCGTAGAAGACAAACTAATTTAATGATTTTTTTTCTATAAACTGTAATAACATTTTATCCTAAAATACACTATTGCACTATTGTGTAATCAATACCAAAATATGTGAATTTTTATTTTTTTTTAAATAA